AGTAAAATCGGTTAAAGATTTTTACCAAATTATAGTAATAACTCAAACCCCATTGCTCAAATTCGTTGATACAATCTTATAATAAAACATTCAAGTTGAACCAATTTTTAATACACGTTATACCACACTTTCAAGAGGCATCACTGTAGTTCAGCTTGTAATTTTCTTGTAATTTTGAACCTAACCCAGAAGACAAGTACTCCCCTCTCAAACATTGGGGGTAACAAGCATTCGAGGAGGACTTCTTGATGGAACTAACTTGCATTTGTGTTACGTGCAAGGAAAAGCCATGCAAACCTCCAACGTTAGCAAAATGAAAAACGATTCTAGCCCATGATTTGTTAATAACTGAGGATATATGTTTCGTCAGCATCGATTAAGTAGTTAGCAGGCGCAACGACCGGCCATTACTAAGATTCGAACTTTGGTCACCTCATTGGGAGGTGAACTCTCTATTCCCTGAGATCCCGTGGCTCTGAAAGTGTTCGTAGTCTAATATGGAAAAAATAAGCATTAAATTGTAAATTACATTGCATGAAGTGCAATATATATATATACAAGTATATAAATGTATGTCTCTGTGTGTGTCCTTCACAGACGCCTAAACCATCCTGCCGAAAGTGATGAAATTGGGCAATCAGATAGTTTGAAGCATGAGGAAGGCCACTTTCGACATTAAAATATTCTACAATAAATCGTTCGAGCGGGATGAGCAAAAAACGAAAAGGAATTTTCTGATTGGTTAAGGGATATCCATTGTTTTAAATTAGCCTTAGACAATTCAATTTATCAAACATTTTGAATATATCTTCAGTGTTATTTGCTTGTTTAGAGCTCTATTTGATCAAAAAAATTGTTGCACGTATTTTAATACTTAAGTTAGATAAATTGTCTGATCAACATTAATGTGGGATACCACGTGTTTATTTTGTTTAATTCTTTTAAAACGTATTTCCATAAAAGTAAATAATTTAAAATCAAAGGTAATTAAAATGAAAAAAAAATAGTTATGTATTTAAAGGCAAAATCAATGGGAAAGTAGTATTGATTTCCTTGGGAGAGAAGTAAAAAAACGCCATACTATTATTGATGCCAATGACTCTTGACTAGTCATGGTCTACTTAAGTCTTACTGCAATAGAATGTATAGAAAGCAAGTACCAACTTTGTGGTATTAGATTGCCCTGAATAGGAGTACCTAAGGGATCGTGACTTTAATAACAAGTTAAAATCCCGTGACCTTAGAGAAAATATTCACATCTTACTGTGTTTAAAAATACATTACTATGTTTGTTTCAAACATTACTACCTAGTGTGCTGACAAAACAAAAACGTCAAAAAATGCTTTTTACATTACTGGGTATAAAGTAGCTGCCACGTGTTAATTAATTTAGGTAATCTATGCATATTGATGTAATAAGCTATGTACTAAAAAACAAAATTGAAGGAGTAAAGGCACTTCTTCGTTTCGAAGAACGGTAAAAAAATGCCCTGCTATTATTGATAACAATGCTGCTTAATGAATGCTGATAATAATTCAGTATGCATGCTGTAGTAATTCAAATTAAAAATAACTTATCTAAAAGCAAAGATAATGGAGTTAAGTTAATTGCTAAGTTACTTATTCATTGTAGGAATATTATTATTCGCCATATTATTATTGATATCAATGATCAATTAATATTATTAATCTCTATTAATTGAAATAAAAGAATAAGCTACGTGATAAAAAGCAAAGTTTGCGGTTAAGAGGTTAATGGAAACCGTAGAAAATCGTCGTACGCAAATTGTGTTTAATTAATTTTGGTAATATGTACTACTGGTACTATGGTTATTGGTGTAATTTTAATAAGAATTCTACGACAGATTTTCCGTAGTTTTAAAAAAAATATTTTTCCATTGGTAGCAAAGATAGTGTGTTAATAATTTAGAATTAAAAGAACGTTTTCCATCACTTCTTATAAGTATTTAAACTGTGAATGTAGGTAAGATAAATGGTCATCCTCCAAAGTCCTTATCAAGGTCTTTAAATAAATCTATTTGTTTCTTGAATTTCGACTTTAATTTGCTGCCACTGCTAAATATATTTCGAACAAAGCTCAAATGTTGAAGGATTACGCAACAAGCACCAAATATACTAATATAAAGAATTATATCTATATATTTGGTGTTTATTAAAACTGCACCAATACTAAGCAGTTTTAATACCGATATTGTTGAAACCAGTGTCTTACGTTCCCTTGAAAGGGATATGAACTGGAGAAAATTAAATGATGCAAAAAATTTTGAAGCTACGTTTTGCTTAATATAATAGCGTAAAGCCACCGAGAAGGGCAACAAATTAAAATAAATTAATGATGAAAATGAATTTATATTAGCTATATTAATTGATGATTTTCGTAGAGAAACCAGTAAAGTGACATTTTCAGAAAAGCTATAATCAGGTAAGATGGAGAGGAAAAGAAAGTGGGTCTCTAAATTTTATTACCTATTTGTTAAAAGGCGGAATAATTCTTTGTCTTATTTTATTTACCACTATCTAATTTGATAATAAAATCAGGCATGCATACTAAAAACTTATGTGTATGAGTTACTTTAAGATTAAAGTGAAAGTAAAAACAATTTTGCTACATTAAATATACTTATAGTTAGGCAACTTTCTGTTATTTTCACTTACACAAATATCCCATAAATTTCACTTACCTGGTTCTCCCACTGAACTCTTCAATTGTGTCGATTTATACAAATAATAAGTAACTAATATAAAATATTGCAGAGTTGAAAAAATATAAAAAAATTAAATAAGTGATTTTTTAAAATTAAGTTTTAAAGCATCGTGACTTATAAATATCGCTGTTATTAATTTTCAATTTGTTTTATGGTATTTAAGAGTTTTGAACTCATTTTAAAACAGTTTCGAAAGGAAGATATTATTTGATACAATTCTTAGATAAACAAAAAAATTGACATTAAGTTTTTGGCAAAAAAATGTGGATAAATGAACACTTTTTCATTTTTATATTTTTTTGTATTCTAAATACGTGGTTAAATAAAATCGAGTATTTTTCTATCGATTGGCAACAGTTTCTATTGATAATTTCAATAGGTTCATATGTTTATTAGTTTGTTTAATAATTTTTTTTGACTCAAGTAATTTGAGTAGAGTGAAAAATGATATATGTTAAGCCAGGGGTCTGTTTAGAAGAAATTTGGGTCCGTTAAGGAACCTTTCACAAAATATTTTTTCGTGAAAACGGACCCTTCACAAAATAATTTATCTTTTAATCGGACCTTTCACAAATTTGCTGATCTTCACTATTGTTTTGTTAATCGAATAAACCCTTCTCGGGGGGGGGGGGGAAGAAATACAGATGTAAACGAANAGACAAAGTTTCCCTAAGTTTAAATTCCAAATGCAGTATAATAAGAAAATATTTCTACTTTTAAGAACATCGTGTGCGCATTCTTATTAATATTAAATCCTAATTTTTTTTCGAAAACGAATAATTGATCAATTCATATTTATTCATAAAATTAATTAATAGAATTTTATGTAAATAAAAATCAATTTCTGGCATATTTTTAAATGAAATATTATAAATTTAAGAATTGTTTAAGTTTATTTAATGCGTAACACATTTAAAGCGATACATTACTAAGTTGTATTACTTAAAATACGTCAATTAAAATTATAAAAATTGTGAGTGATTTTGTTTCCATTATTCGTCCGAAATGAATATTCTGTGTTGAGCAGCATAGGCTAAATACCAAATATTTGTATGTTGCATCTCTAATTTAGTAGCAGCAATAGCTGTTTATTTTTTTAAAAATCTCAAAACTANCAAATTCACAAAAGTAGGATCCTGTTTGAAAGAATGTGACTTAATGCTTATTTTATATTCACAAATTATAAAGCTTTTTCTCAATTTTACAAAAACAGGATCTTTCACAAAATGTCTGGATAGACCCCTGGTTAAGCATTTATTTAAGTTTAATTTGTTAGGTTGTCTTAAGTAATAATTTAAGTAGTATAGTTAGTTATACGCTTAGTATTTATTTATAATAATTTCGCATTTTTATAGAAATAAAAACTTAGTTAGGAAGTAATTATTTAACTTACTTTTTGATCCTTTCTAAAACGACTCTAGAAATTTTAAACTTAAACGGTGCCTCATACTGGCATACCAAATATTGGTTAAAGAGTTTGCCTTTTTCGAACAATAACATACAAATATAATACGTGAACGTATTATATTTGTATGTTACTTATGCGTGAGGAAGTAGTTCATCACGTAATGGAGCAATTTGATGAGTTTTCGATCTTATATCACAGCAGAGATACGAATAATTTTAATATTTCTGCTGCCTTCTTAGCTGAAATGTCCAACACATATTTAGATGGTGGTTTAATTGATTTAGTGACTGCTGGGCAGATTTTAAATTATTATTAAAATTTAATACACAAAGAACTTTGACAATATCGCGGGCATCTCTTGAAATTTGTTAAAATTGAAATCGAAGTACTTCTGTAGGCAACCGATAGCTGTGAAAAATTTGATTAATAAATTGTTTGAAACTATTTAAGGTGTTGGGATTGGAGAAAAGATTTGAAAAGATTGTTAGAATATTTAAATACTTTTGTGCTCTGTATTCGGCTTGGTTATCATTAAATTTTATATGTTGTAAGATAATTTTGAGAAGTGACCAAACTGGTCACCAAAGACGGCCAGTTTTCTTAGAATATACTATTTTCCCCCTTATAGTGAAGTTAAAAAGTGCTTTTTTACTCCCTGTAATTTACATTACATTTAATTTTATGTGAAAATTAGAATGAACATAAGCTGTATGCATACAGTTTACATTATTCTTATTTTATTTATTCAGAAAAACTTAAAACCTATAGAATTGTAAAATATTTTATTAAACGTATGCAAGACTATTCTAGAATCAGCACAAGATGTTTCTGAAATAATTAATAAAATAATAAGAACAAGAACTCACCATAATAATTGTCAGAAGAACAGTAATTTGTATTCCAGAGGAATTCATTTCGTTGAAAACATTTGTTTTTCACACTGGTTTATTTCTTTAACATTGAACAGTGATTGATATCCACCCGCAGTGATTCCTTTCGAAATAATATAAATGCAATATTCTTTTTTTTCTCCAAGTTTCGTATTTATCACGGTATCTATCTTTAAAAAAAGACGATTATATTTCTATTCTTCTTGATTACGTTTAGAATACAATGAAAAATCCTTATCTAAACATTCTATTATCACAGAGGCACTTCTGCGTTTGGCTCATGAAAGTGTTCCAAACCGATGTTTACTCAAAAATTCATTTCATTCCAACACAAACAAGATATTGCCACAAAAACGCTGAAATTAAGTACGCAAAAGAATATTGTTTGCCAAATTGTGAATGGAATTAAATACGATCGTCTGATTTAAAGTTCAAGTGCAAAAACATGTAAAGCTTTCAAACTGACAAGCAATGTGCAACATACTAAACCGAACTATTTATTTCCTGTTTATTCGACTATGATTCATTCAAAACTAGTTTGGTAGATATGTATTGATTTTATAGCACAACATATTGTTTTTATAAGAATAAATTAAAATTCGTCAAATTATTTTTTTCTAATTAAATCACAAAATATGATGTTAATCATCAGTGTTTAAACAATATTTTTTGCAGGCGAGTTTTTTCATAACGTGCAGACGATATTTTGGAATTAAGTTTTATAAATAATTTTGGGGACAAATTTTTCCATAATGTAAGGACGATATTTTGAAATTATTTTTCGTAATAAAGCTTAATGGAAAATATGCTCATACCACGAAACCATTTATCTCATTAATATTCTTGATCAAGTTCTTGGGCAGGTAATTGTAAAAATAATTATCTTAATAATAATCACCAAAATATTCTGTTTCAGCATTCACTAAGTACGCGCTTAAAATCTTCGAAATCGTTTGCTGTATTTATTAGAGAAAAAATATATAGCAAATGTAGATAAAATAATTTTCTTATGATTGATTCATAACAATATTTTAATTAATGAAATACTTCTAACGTTATAGTAGAAGTTTATTATAGCATTCGATTCCTATCATATTTTTTTTCAATATATATTTGTAATAAATTCGAGCCGAGTATATCACAATAAATACATTTGATTCACTAAAAATTCCGCATAAAATTATCCAGGGAGCTGAAAAACTTTATTCAATACACAATTCGCGGAAAAGACCCAAACAAATAAACATCACACCTCGCCACACGATAAAATAAAAACCGCGAGTCAGCTAATAGCTGTCACATCCCTATAAATTCTTTGAACTGTTTTGAGAACAGCAAATTTCCTGACTGAGCTAGTAGTTTTAAAGCTTCCTGTATATTTTACTCTTATGATCTCTATTTGTGTTGGTGTTGCTATTGGTTGTAGGACAAAAAAGAAAGGAAGCATTGGATGACGTCAGGTCACCGAAACCCCGCTGTTTCCTTTGGTGATGCTTCCAACGTTTGCCCTTACTCCAAGGCTTTTACTGATGGAAAATAAATGATAAGACTTATACGTGATCTGGCATAATGTATCATTCGAGAAATTGTTCTATTTCCGAATCTTATTTTTCGAATAAACAATAAAGAGAGAGGTGTTTCTGAAAAATAAGCTTGCAAAGAAGAAGGAGAGAAAAAAAGCGAAGAAACCGAAAGGAATTTTTTTTTTAGTTTTGCATTTTTCACAATATGTTTGGTAATAAGAACTATTATTTTGAAAGCAAAAATTATTGGTTTAATGTTTTTTCTTTAGTTTTGTATTTTTTACCATATTTTTGGTAATAAGATCTATTATTTTGAAAACAAAAATTATCGGTTAAATTTATTTTTCAGTTTTGTATTTTTTACTTTATGTTCGGTAATAATAACTATTATTTTGAAAAAAAGTTATTGGTTAAATTAATTTTTTAGTTTTGTATTTTTACCGTATGTTTGGTAATAAGAACTATTACTTTGAAAACTATAATATTCGGTTATCACATAAGACTTATACGTGATCTGGCATAATGCATTATTCGAGCTATAATGCTATTTCCGAATCTTATTTTTCGAATAAACAATAAAGAGAGAGGTGTTTCTGAAAAATAAGCTTGCAAAGAAGAAAGAAAGAAAAAAAGCGAAGAAACCGAAAGGAAACGTTTTTTTAGTTTTGCATTTTTCACAATGTGTTTGATAATAAGAACTATTATTTTGAAAACAAAAATTATCGGTTAAATTTATTTTTTAGCTTTGTATTTTTTATCATATGTTTGGCAATAATAACTATTATTTTGAAAACAAAAATTATCTGTTAAATTTATTTCTTAGTTTTGTATTTTTTACTATATGCTTGATAAAGAGGACTATTATTTTTAAAACCAGAATTTTCGGTTACGACATAAGACTTATATATGATCTGGCTTAGTGTATCATTCGAGAAATTGTTCTATTTTCGAATCTCATTTTTCTAGTAAACAATAAAGATGGAGGTGTTTCTGAAAAATAAGCTTTGAAAGAAGAAAGATAGAAAAGAGCGAAGAAACCGAAAGGAACAAATAATGTCCATTTTATTATTTCTAGCTAAATTTGTAATAATTTTAATTAGTAAAGTAAAATATAAAATTAATAAGTGAAATAGTAATAGAATTAACTCCAGAAAAACAGAAGATAAATAAGTAGAATAGTAATAGATTTAATGCTAATTTTTAACACAGAAAAAAAATCTTATTTTTTTGACATTTTTTTCTTTTTAAAAAATCACATTTGGATACTGCTTACAAGCAATAGAGCTCATAGTAGGGGGATTTACAGCATTTACAAACCGTTCTTACACAATAGGCGAGTAAGTGTTCTTTACAAATCACTTATCTATTCTAACAATTTGCATTGTGCATTTTATAACTACTTTTTTAAAGCATTCAATAGGTATTTTGGAAAACAAATACAAAATTTGATACACCTTAATTTTTACAGTAATAATTACGGTAAAATAACTGAATCACTCAAATTAAATGAATAGTACTGTGAAAATTACGGTGTAAAATTTTACGGTAAAAATGGCTATTACTGTAAAATGGTTTTTACGTATGATGCACTTAGAGTGCTGGTAATTTACAACATAATTTGTTCCGAAATTTTTTGCAGTATGTAAGCACAACATACTTGTACTATACCAATAGTTTTCGGTTTCTGCAATTCTATTCCAAACAATTTAATTATAGGTTCAAGATAGTATTTTTTTGTAGGCCAATAAAAATAATAACGATATCAATTCTATATTGCATGTAGTTACATTTTAAAAATTAATAATGTTAGTTAGTCCATGATTTTATTTTGTCACTGCAGTAGTGCCTTTAAAAAATTGTTGCTAGAAAAGTCACCTCCATTTTATTAAAAAAAAGGGGAAAAAAAAGAATGATAATTCGCTTAAGCTAAATCTTGAGATAATTTTTTTTTCATTTGTAGAAACAGATAAAATAAAGAAAGTTCGAAAAAGGATTTCTGGTTAATGAGGCAATAAAGATTTTTCAATGTTCAGTTTTTATAGCTTTTTTTTATTAGGTTGAAAAAAATTGTGAAGCTCGCGTAAGTCTTCAAAGAACTTCAATATTTATTTAGTGAACTCATACATTACTACCTACTCTTACCATTTTTTTTAGTAAAGAGTTCAAAAGATTAATGTTTGTGTTTACTTCGGAGTGTCAAGAGATATTAATTTATTGCATGTCGACTGTTTTGTNACAACATTCTTTCTGTTGCCACTCACACTTTTCATATATACACAGGCTAAAAAATCGTTTTAGTTAATATTTACACTTTAAATGAATGACGTCATCTTATGAGAGTGACGTAACAAAAGTAACCTTACCAGCCGGTATCCAACGTAGAACTAAAGGATCTCTGAAATTACATATACCGTTGAACATTTTAAAAGTAACGCTAAAATCTAAACTAATTGGGGTTCAACATCGCCCAGCTTGGCGATCAACCACAATCACAACTTGGCGAGAATCAAGGGACACCCACAAATATAGTCTACCCAAATATTCTTGTGGCGAAGTTATGCAATGTAACTATCGCTACATGTAATGAAAACCCATTTACCAGCATAGAAGGATACTATCACACTTTCCGTGAATGGATTTTCGAAGAGGAAGTCAAACAAATACCGAAAAATAATTTTGCTTAAAAAATATAGTTATATTTTGACCAGGTTGTTATTCGTTATTGTAAAGACCAATATGCTCTATATATTTATGGTTATTACTTTTATGCAGTGATGGTCAAACTCATTTATAATTATTATTATAATTCAAAAAGCTTAATGGAATAACATTTTCGTTACCACTTTAAATATGAAAATATAATCTTCCGGGGAAACGGGAAGAGATGGCAACTATGTAAAAGACATGTTAACTCTATTTTATCAGAAGGTACCTTTTGATAGATGACTGCTGATATTTTATAACCGTTGTTGTACAGCCGACCCATTTTCATGGGTTTACGACTACTAATGTTCAACTCCTTAGCCTTGTAATTTTGACCCAAATCCAGAAGACAAGGGAACTCCTGTATCGAGTAATGGGAGAAATTTGCCTTCGTGGAGGACTTTTTGATGGAGCTAACCCGCATTTGCGTTACATGGAGAGGAAGAACACGATCCGTCTACCATTGAGGATATTTCACGCCAGCACTGTGGTCGGTGCAAGCCGGATGCAGAATTCGTATCGACTGGGATTCGAACCCGGTTCGCCACATTGGAAGGCGTACGCTCTATCCCCTGGGCCATCGCTGCTCTGACTGCTGACATTGTCGGTAGCCTAGCCTCACATGGGTGACTTGTGGATGTGATGTGAATGCGCCTGCCTCGACTGACATGCCTACCTTAACTGAAACGCCTCCTTCGATTTAAACCCGCCTAGTTCAAGGGATGGTTCACGGTTATTTGCTATTTGTGACTACGTCATTGTCCTTCTCACGTTGTTGCTATTCAGTCTCGATGACACACAACGGGGGCTTGTACATACTCGACCACTAATTGCAATACTGGAGCGACTACGCCCACAACCGTGATCCTAGTACAGTTCTCACGACCAGTACTCAAATCTTGGTGTTCTTAATCCAACTCTCCTGGCCTCTCGCAAAACAGTAGTGAATCAACTAGTGGTATACATTCAACGAATTCAGATGATAAAATTATGGTGGGGGAATAATGCAGCGTAGGTACCACTACAACTATTAAATTCCAATTCACTAGTATATGAGGCATGTTGATTTTATTCTAAGGTACCTTTTGATAGATGACGAATGGTATTTTTTTTAGCCTAGCCCCATTTGAGGAATCCGAAATATTAAGACACGTTTTTGAAAAGGACATGCACCGTAGCGGATCCATATATCCAGAAACATTTCTGATTTTTTTTTACAGTGCAAAAGAGAAAAATCAAAATGGTGACTAGTTCTCTTTACTAAGCGGTGACTAGTTCTTTCGACTTGCCACAAAAAAAATTCAATTTTATCATGTTTCGTGTGGACAGTTCTCAAAAAGTAAGGACATTACACAGATCTAAACTTTAAGAACTGATTAAAATTGAGTTTAAAATT